AGCTTTCAACAGCGAAAGGGTGCGCGCATTGCTTAACTCACCAGAGCGGCCAAATAGTCTGGGAGGCCACAAGGAGAGCCGGGAGGCTCAACCAGGCCACAAGGAGAGCCGGGAGGCTCAACGAGCCCCTCTCCCCCCCCTCCCCCCTCTGGCCTTTGCACCTGATTGGCTCACAAGCGACGACATCACGTTTATCCCCCGCCCTATTTAAGACCGAAACAGGAGAAGGATTTCTCCACAACTCTGTGGCTGTCACCCGATGATGCTGGTGGTTGTTGTTGTAATTACTGGCAAAACATCACGGTAATCGAATTGTAAACGTTGTCGTGGGTTTACTCTCCAACAGACAACCGGTGTGCTGCACTCGTAACGAATTGGCATATTTTGTTCACGTGACAAACGGTACTAATTGGCTGCGTGTCGGGTGGTGGCGGGTTTAACGACACATTTATATTTACGCGATGGAATCCAAAAACCTCTGTTATGGATAATATTGGTCGTGAAAGCCTACGACGTGTTAAACTACCCCGCAATGTGTCATGGAGGTTTAAAGCTCTGACTGACATAATACCTAGATGGTGTCAACGAGAAGAAGGTTATTACAAAACGTAATAAACATTTTCACAACTGCTTCATTCGGGGGGGGGGGACACGGGGACAGCCTTGTCTTAAACCTGACTCTCCTGGCCAAGCCGCGATGTTTGGGAGCTTTATTATTCCCCGAATGCATCACTTCAACGCTTTTTATGTGTTAACACACACACACACACAAGATGTGGCAGCCGCGAGTAATATTTCAAACTTAAAAGGCTCGGCCTGTTGCAGAAGCCACGCTCGTGAAGCTCAACAGGAGAGTGAGAGCCACGGTGTGTAATCAACGAGAGCGCTGCTCTAAGCAACAACCCGCGCGAACCCAGGGCTTCCGCGGGAAATTAAAATCCTGAGACAAATGCGTGAAATAAACGTGGCGTCGCTTCGCTGTCGCTGCGTTCGCTCGCGCTTATTTCGTCCCGTGGCCTTGCCAATTGCTGTAATTCTCCAGAATGTAAGACGCTCTGAAAGAGTAAGAGACAAGCGCCCCACGCCTCCTCTGCTCCCCCAAGATTATGCCGGGTTTTAATAAGAAATTACAAATCCGAGTCACACACACACACGCACGCACGCACATGCACGCGCGCGTCAGATTATAAGACGCAACACCCTAGTCTTTCGCCGTAGCATAGAGGAAAATAAAGTGTTTGCCTCATCACTCCGAGCGAATACGGTCAACAGCCCATCCTATACGAACCCAATACTGAAATTTAAAAAAACACAGCGAGACTAGAGGGCCACACGATAGCATATATATTATATATCATCGTCGTCATTATAATCCTATATTATGTAATGTCCATTACATATCCAAAATCGTACGGGCTTTACGATTTGGAACAAAACTCGAAAGAAAAAAGAACCGCACGCATTCAATATCAATGTGCTCGGTGCGCCGGGATAACGGGAAAAGCAACGGGAGTAAAAGGCGCAGCCACGCAAGCTGAATTCCCGCGCCACCCCTGGCCGAAGGAACTCCCCACCGCTACCACTCGAGGGAGCTGCGGGGAGAGAGCCCCCCCCCCACCCCCAGCCCCCCCTATTAGAGACTGGAGGGTAAGTAACCGAGCAGTAACCAAGCAAGCCGCGGGATACATTGACGAATCGCCAGCTCTATCGGCGAGAGTGGCGAGAAGGCTCAAAGTTGTCGCATTGCAAGTGATGTCATTTTGTCAAACTAGCTATAATACTTTTGCACTCAAAACCCACCAGCGGGGGGGGAGGGGGGGGCTGCCTAGTGGCGTCGTGTGCTGTGGTTGCAGCTTCCCGATTTTATAACCACAGCTGAAGTCAGTTTATTCCATACAGCTTCCCCTTCTCTCTCGGCCTGTCCTTAATTCTTACAAGGCGCCTTGAGATATCAGCAGATGGCGTCACACCAATAAGCGTACATTAGCATTACCTGTTCTGTGATTGGATAGAATCCGGTCACACGTAGCTTACTTATGGCCGAAACGAATTCACTACGTCACAAACGTATTGATTGCCAACATATATAGATGTGCGCGTAAGGGACGTATGGGTTGTCGTCTTTATCCTGTTCGCGAAGTAGGATTCTTTTTTTGGGGGAAGGACGAATACACTTTAAGCCATCTTATCGACATTGCAACTAACTTTCATTCGAAAAAGGTGGCAACTTCGTCCATTCAAATACAATGCAGTGCAGAGCCTCAGTCACAGAGTGCACATTCACCACAACGGGGGCACAAAGAGTGAATCAATCTACGAATCCAATCGCAGCCTCAAACGACGAAGACGAAAAATCACTGAGGAGGGTCGGCGAATCGGCGATTTTTTTTTTTACTGGGGCTTGGAAATTAAAGGGTGGACGATCAGTTTCTCACTCCGGTCCGTGTGCTGTGCAGATGCAGAATCAATCATACAGAGCCCACCAGCAGAAATACTGCACAAGGATCACTCAGGCGAAGATCCCCCCCCGTGTAACCTTAAAAGACTGTCGGGGCAAGTGCTGTTAGCGAGCACCTATGAAGGCCGGCACGGCACACGGGGGGGTGGAGGGCCAGCACCACGCCCGGCCGCCTTTGTCTCCCCAGTGGCGATGTTTACGCATCCGCACCAGGTACTAAATTCGAGGCTGAGTCGACGTAGGGGAGGGCCCAGGACCGGTTCAGAAAAGTCACTGGTGTTGGCCGTGAACGGATATTGAACGTGGGTCGCCAGGTTAGTAGCGCAGCGTGCTAACCGCTGCACTACCGCTCCCCCATGCATTACACACACACACGCACACCCACATACAGACTGACAGATGCATTCCACACACACCAGCTTGATAAATTATTCTAATCCCCTCAAGGTTCCCAAACATAACTCCTGACCCGGTGACACTATTACTCCAGACCAAGCCGTTCACCAAAGTCTAAATACTCCAAGAACACACACATGCATGTAACACCGATGCAGAGGCAATGATCCCCCCCCCTAAAGCCTTTGCAAGCGTGCTGTTAGCGAGCACCTATGAAGGCCGGCAAGGCGCACCTATGAGGGATCGTGGTGGTGGGAGCAGCACCACTCCCGGCCACCTTTGTCTTCCCCAGTGCTGAAGTTTACACAGCGCGCCAGTTACTCTTTTAAGGGCGAGTCGACCGAGCACGAGACCCAGGATTGCTTCAGGTATATCGCAAATGATGTTGGCCGTAGATCAGAGATTGAACACAGGTTGCCGGGTTCGTAGCGCAGTGCGCGAACTACTACGCAACTTAAGACAAAGATCCCCCATATAGCCTTCACAGACTGTTGGGGAAAAGTGCCCTTCAGCCGGAATGGCACACGAGGGGGTGGGTGGCCTAGAACCATGCCCGACTGCCTTTGTCTCCCAAGTGGCGATGTTTACACATTGCACGAAGTACTCATTTGAGGCCGAGTTGACCTAGTTATAGATATTATTTCCAAACAATAATAATGCAATAATTAAAAAAAAGAGAGATTGGGTTTGGCTATGTCCGATTTCCCTTCAGCTTTACATTATTATTCTTTATCATTAGAGATAGTGCATCTTAAGCAAATGTGATGGTGAACTCCTCATTCCGACGGCAGGCCCAGTCTATCCACGGGACGACTGCTGTTAACTTCCCACAAAGCGGTACTGATTTCATAGGCCACAGAAGGATGTGCCAAGTTGACCGGCAACAACCGGGACTTGAACCCATCGCCTTCGGATGGTGCGTCAGCTATTCGGCCCACAGACATCAACAGCCGAACACAATAACCTGTACTACACTGACCGTTGCTGTGAAGTGTGGCCAAACACCCGACACATGACCCTCTTCCTCATGGGAGGGCCCCGCCCCTCCCCTCACCCCCTTCACACGTAGGCCACGAGGCCCAGACCAGGTAACCCACTTAGCGGTACCGCCTGAGGTGGTGCAACTCCGGCGGTGACAAACTTCTCTCCGTGGCCAGCGATGAGTGAATTACGCGATGGCCGTTTGAAATGAGCGCGGTCCCTGTGGAGCAATGCACCCATTAGCCGTAAGAATGAATCTGTATCGACTCTCGTCTCGCTACCTTTGGGTGGCGCGTGCATCTGCTATGGCCCACGGGACAGCCGGCAGCAGATTGTGCAAGTTACGGAGGAGCCGAATTGAACTATTGACACTAAACTAAAACTTTATTTTTTATTTTACCAGGTTAATGCCCACTGAGCTGTATAACGTATATCTCAGGAAAAGCCTGGCCACTGCATTGCTAGCTCAATGAAGTGGCTCATCGCGTGGATATTTATAGGAGCCTGGACATGTGACAAAGGGTTTTTTTATAGCTCATCGGATTCCTCGATTCTTGAATGCATATTTCTAAATGCCGAGGGTAAAAAACCGGATGACCTGGACAAAAATCCACGTGACCACCAGAACACGCAACATCCAAATACACAGCAGGCGTGGATAGGGTCTGGATCGAACCCACGACCTCCTATGTAACAGGCGAGGTAGTTAACGTCTCCTAGCCACCGTGCCGCCCGATTGAGAAGCACCTGATGACGATTGCTTGCGTTGCGAACGAAACGTCGTGATGTATTTTTTTTTCTATATACGTGGCTTTATCGAAAGACCCAAACAATATGAATTCCTGCAGTCACGAAAGCTTTAAGTCTACAAAGTAATTGTTCGGCTAACCGATTCATCATTTGCCGTTTGAAACTGGTAAAACTATAACAGCCAGTCCCAGATGATAATCCGTTCCGTGGCCTTATCATATACTGTCATCCTCTTAGAGCAGCGTTACTGATGAATGTGTCTAGTCAGAAAACTTCACGCGGCTGTGCAAAGGCAAGGGGAGGGCGGATACTGCGTCACTTCAGTTTGAGATCGCATCCAATGACCGTGCGCTAAAATGAATAAAAACTATCGTTTGTGATGGCCAGGTCGCTTCTGAAAAAGAGCTGCGTAGGTCAGTGGGGGGGGGGGGGGGGGGGGGTGGGGCCTTACCTGGTAAAATAAAATTTAAAAAACAGTTGCGTTGAGTGCAGAGCAGCAATGGATTCTGCTGCACTGCCCCACTGTGGCAGCTGTGGCACCCGTCTTTCGCGCAGGGCAGCCACGTCCGTAAAGGCGCAAAAATTCATGCTCAACCCCCGCGTAGCTTCCACGATCTGGCGATGGTCGGGCACATTCTGGCCGATTCGGCGACGCTAACCGAATGGGTTCATACAATTTTTAAAAACAAACCGGGATTTTTTTTTCATTCTTGTTTTTTTTGTCACAGGAGGGTGAGGTCGCCTCGATGTTTTTTTGGCTGACTGGGGGGCCTGGCTTCAGGAAGGAGGTCATTCACCCGTTAGCTATTGCAACCCTTTTCAAGGAAACATTAGCCCAAGTTAATTTGTTTTGCTCACAACGAACATCCCCAGCTCTTGTGCACATCTGAACTGCGCGAGGGCCAGGCTTTCCCGGGGCCGGGCCGGGCCATGCCGTGCCGGGCCGTGCCAAACCATGCCATGGCCTTCCTCCGCATGTCCGATGAAGCACGGTTGGCTACGTATGGAAAGAAGCTCAACGTACACACACACATCCAGCCCGCTGCGGCTCAGGAGACCCCCAGGTTGTTTTTCCACTGCAGAAACCAACCGAGCCGTGCCGCCGACGTCACACGCAGCGACCGAGTCTGTTACACCCTCCCCCCCGCCCCCCGCCCCGCCCAGTGGCCCTGCTTGGGCCCCCAACGCAGACTCGGATGTCTCCTCGCAAGGCCGGTGGTGTATCGCGCGGTTCGGTTTTTGCGGGTCGGCACAGCAAAAACAGGCAGTGGAAAAACCACCCGTGCCGCTGCGCCTAGACGCTTGCCCAACGGAGAAAGGAGGCACTGTAGAGAGACACGCCGAGCTGCGGGGCCATGGCTCGTGGGCAAAAAAAAGTCCGATGCTTCCTCCAACGATCGCAAAGACTTTCCAATCGACTTTCAGGAGCGTCCACCGCAAATCGCTCCAGACGTGCCCACCGACGCCACCCGTCTAAAGGAAGACGACTGCGATGCGACGTCGTTTCTGCTGCTGCTGCCCAACTCGAAGGTGACTTTCTTTCTCAAAAAACGCAGCATCCGCCCCCCCCTCCCCCCCCAACCGCAGTTTTGACAGCCCGAAGGACCACGCAGCCTAGGAGACCTCGACAAGGCGAGAGCTGCTCGCTTTGTCGGCTACGTCCGTTTTACTTTAAGCAACAACAAAAGGGAATTTGATTGATTTTTTTTTTATGAAAACCAGTGAAATCTGGCATTAAGGCTGCCGGGGATACAATGTTCTGCTGCAGATGTCACACAGATTAACCTATCTGTAAACCATTAAAGTGTTCGTGCCAGACGACCAAATACGTACTATAAGATTACATTTCAGTGAAAAAAAGGTAAAACGACAAAAATTATTTGGCATCTAGTGGCCAAAAACAAAAATACCAAACGAATCTCACAAACAGCTGCGTCGGGTGTATCTAAGCAAACGGATTTAAGCTTTCCCAACGTGCACCTGCATGAATTTACCCACAATTCCGGCTGATGCAAACAGTGGGCCAAGTGCCACCGCACGCCCCGCCCACCCCCACCACCGGTGGCCAACCAGCCAATCGCACGCTTTGGCACTGCGCCATGCAAAAGGTGGGTGGTCGTCTCCGATTGGTCGGACTGCTACGCTGTACAATTTCACGATACGCCGATTATTGCGGCTTCAAATTACCGATCACTTTTTCGCGCGCGATTTTTTACGTATTTGAGTCCCGTTTTTGTGCGTTGCCGTGCTTGCAGTGTGCGTGATGACAACTTTAAAAAAAGTTCCTCGGCTGATGTTAACTCAACGCAAGTCTTCGAATCATGGCGACTTTTTTTGCGATCGGTAACATTTACAAAAGCATTTATGCTGCCAGTTAAAACAGAAACAATTAAAAGATCCACAACGCAAAAAATTCAAGATGTCACATGACCATCACGCCATCACTTAAGCGGGTAACAGTTAAATATTTGGAACTTTGATGACCGTGTTTTCTAAATCGTACGTATGTGGATCAGGACGTAAAATATCAATTATAAATTAAACGAGTGTCGATAATCACGAGAAAACGATATTTTGCCGAATGAACGTTGACGTGATGATCGTGGTGTTTACACCGTGCGACGCACCGTTGTGTTTTCATATAGCGGCAAACTGTAGCGGAGAATGGTAGGATGGTTCTAGAACGAACGACAGAGAAATAGGATGGGAAGGGGGGGGTGGTGGTGGGTGGCTCTCTCGCCCAGTCCACAACAGCACACGACGGTTACGAATCGTTGCAACTAAAATATAACGCGCAATAATTATTCCGCGAGAAGCTCGAAGCACGTTTAGGACTGCTTGGTTTGTCTTTAGTTTGTTGTCCTTTGCCCGCACCTTCGATTTAGCACGGCTGGCTACGTAGGGTGCTAACGAAGTTCAACGCACATGCGTACAAGCAACATCCAGGCGCAGCCCAAGAGAGATTTGGAGATCCGACGAGTTCGTTGCGGGCGATTTGGTCAGAGGCAAACCAAACAGCAATTTGTCCGTCCCGATTATATTCCCATCGCGCTATTGACATGACACACTGGGACCAACAAATATATACTTTAACACGTAGACTTTCGCGACACATTTATATTCATGTGATCTAACCTAAAAACCTCTATTATGGAAAAGATATATAATTTGGAACTCTTGACACCGAGCGTGTGACAATGCATTGCCTTTCAGGACGTCGCGTTTCTTACGCACTCTAAAATGATACAGAATCGAATTAATAAATCCCTTTGTACAAAGCCTAACGGGCGTCACCAAAGGCCTCTTTGCGTTGCGGGGGCGGGAGGGGGGGGGGGGGGTCTCGTCCGTCTCGCTCTAGAAGGGCGCGCGCCGCCCCCGCGACCGGCCAAACTCACACGAGAATCTCCGACGGGGGTCACGAGATCAACGAGCGCATCACGAAAAGCGCTCGCGAGAGGGGACGACACGACGGAGCGGTGGCTGGGTTCAAAGTGCGCACACAGCGTTCTTCTCGCTCTCTAAAACGCCAACCGCCCCCGCCCCCCCACCCCCCACGCCACCCATCCCACGCCCAACCAACCCAGACCACAACTTCAGTGATTTAAAATAAATTGTGATATACCGACGAGCAACAAGTGTGTGTGTGTATATAAATAAATATACACGGCGCGAAGCAAACGCCGCGGGCGAGTAGAGAGTCGGAGCGACGGGTAAACTAAAACGTCGGTGGTGGATTTGTTTTTTTTGTTTACGAAGTATGGTGGCGTGGCTTTTCCAAAGAATAAAAGCGTCCAGTGAATGCGATTTGTCCAGTCATCAAATCAAATTTTAAAAAAAAATGAAAGGATGCAAAATAATAACAACGACGACAATGAACAAAAACTACAATTGGACGATGTTAAGTAAGAATATTAAAACCACGAGGATGATTTTGCAGGCAGCAGCGGCAGGAGGACGCCGCTACGCTTCGGGGCCTACCATAGGCTGAGAGCTCGAGGAGCCCGAGGTGTTGAGGCCGTTGTGAACGGCGACCGTCTTCAAGGCGTCTTCCTCGATCTCTCCCCGCCGGTCAATTAAGCTGATTGAGACAAACACACGCAACCACACACGCACGCGCAGACACGCAGGCGCAGACACGCACGCACGCACACAAACACACGCACACAAACACACGCACGCACAGACACGCACGCTCACACACAAACACACGCAACCACACACGCACGCACAAACACGCAGGCACAGACACGCACGCACACACACGCACACAAACACACACGCACACACACAAATACACGCACGCACACACACGCACACAAACACACACGCACACACACAAACACACGCACGCACACACACACGCACACAAACACACACGCACACACACAAACACACGCAACCACACACGCACGCACAAACACGCAGGCAAACACACACGCACGCGCAGACACAAACACACGCACGCACACGCACGCACAGACACACACATACGGGCACATGTATATTTACACACAGGGCACACATATCTGTGGGACTTTATTTGGCAGTAAAACGTGAGGTGTGAAGATGCTCAAACACCAAATCGAAAGTTTTTTTGCAAGGCATCAAGTTTCTGCATTAACCCACACAAACTTGTGGCAAAACACGCAAACAAACATTCTCTGATAATTATTCACTGTGTAACAAAAACATATTTTTTTCTTGTTCCTGCGTAGTAAGTGTTATTTCCTAATTGCTTATGCCTCAAAATTACAGAAGACGGCTATTATTCCACACAAACGTTGCTTTTGTGACCAGGACAGTGATATTTATAAATGTAGCAATTGTCAATGAGAGAACGTGGTGTGCATTTGTGTCATCCCTTCACATAAAGTCCTGGTCACAAAAGCAAAGTTTGTGAGGAATAATAATAATAGCCACTTTCTATACTTTTGAGGCTTAAGCAATTAAAAATTAACACTTACTACCCAGGAACAAAAACCGTGTTACACAGTGTAATATGTGCATTGTCTTTGAAACGGATTGGCCTACACCATAAACACACAGACAGATAGATAGATACACACAGACTTAAGACAAGAAAAATACAAAGATCTCCCCGTGTAGCCTGTAACAGACTGTAGGGGCAAGTGCTGTTAGAGAGGACCCTATGAAGGCCGGCACGGCACACGAGGGGGTGGGTGGCCAGCACCACGCCCGGCCGCCTTTGTCTCCCCAGTGGCGATGTTTACAACACACCACACCAGGTACTCATTTGAGGCTGAGTCAACCTAGGGGATGGCCCAAGACCGGTGCGGATAATCGTCACCGGTCTTGGCCACGAGCGGGAATGGAACTCGGGTCGCCGGGTTCGTAGCGCAGCGTAGCGCTAACTGCTAAGCTACCCACACAGGCACACAGATACAGACAAACTAAACTACCGACCAAGGCTACCACAAATGATCGCGTGGAAACCTCTAGCAGCAGCCAACTACCCCCTGCACGCGTGGTGATTGCCGATTAAAAACCGTTGGGTGAAAAACCGGAGGAGCCGGAGAAAAATCCACGCTCTCGCGGAGAAAACACCCAAACCCCAAGTACACAGCCGGGAGTCAGGCTCGCGATCGAACCCACGACCTCCTGGCTCCTGCATACCAGGCTGGTGGTGGGGGAGGTGGAGGGAGCGGCGGGCTGCATACCTGGGAGGCAGGGGGCCGCACAGCACGGCGCAGCAGTTGGAGAAGACGTTGCCGTGGCTGAACGGGTTGTAGACATCCTTTCCTCGCTTGCTGGACCACGAGCCCTTGATCTACGCACGTGGGACGACGAGGAGGAGGAGGACGAGGACGGCTGAAAATTTGTAAACTTCTACGTTACATTTATATATATATACACACACGTGGGACACCGCACGTTCACCGGTGTTGTTATTTAGTGCTTCGGGTTGTCGGGGAGGCGATTCAGCAGGTGCGGCGATGAAAGTGAGGTACACCCATGGGGTAGAGGGGGGGGGGGGGGTCAGGTGGCGGGGAAGGGCGGCCGCTTGATGACCACTTCAAAGCCTTCTCTGCACACGTCCGTGGCGCCGAGCCGGTAATTGTTAATCTTAATGATGCATGTTTGCTGAACTTCTTTCGTAACCGTACGTAGCCAATCGTGCTAAATCAGAGGTGCAATGGAGTGCGGTAGTTCGGCGTGGTGGAGTGCGGAAGTTCAGCGTGGTGGAGTGTGGTAGTTCAGTGTGGTGGAGTGCGGAAGTTCAGCGTGGTGGAGTGCGGTGGTTCAGTGTGGTGGAGTGTGGTAGTTCAGCGTGGTGGAGTGTGGTAGTTCAGTGTGGTGGAGTGTGGTAGTTCAGCGTGGTGGAGTGTGGTAGTTCAGCGTGGTGGAGTGTGGTAGTTCGGCGTGGTGGAGTGTGGTAGTTCAGCGTGGTGGTGGAGTGGTAGTTCAATGTGGTGGAGTGTGGTAATTCAGTGTGGTAGAGTGTGGTAGTTCAGCGTGGTGGTGGAGTGTGGCAGTTGAGCGTGGTGGTGGAGTGTGGTGGCGCGGCGTGGCACTCACGTCTTCGTTGGTGGTCTGGTTGGAGGCCACCAGGTAGGTGTGGAACCCCGAGAGTCCGATGATCGACCACACGGAGAAGAAGCAGACGACCGCTTCCAGCACAGTGCGGCCCCCGTCGTGGTCAAGGCCAACAACAGGGGGCGAGACTCGTGGCCAACTCGCCAACAAAGCCCAAGGGCACCCCCCCCCCCCGACGGCGGGGCTGTTTGGGGGGGGCACACCACGAATGCCGTGGACTAGCGCAGCAGGGCGTTTGTTGGGGGGGGGGGGAGGGGGGGGCGGTCTTTTAAAAATATATATTTCATTTCAACCCACGTAACTTTACCGAAAGAACCAAAGAGTACGGAATCCTGCAGTCACGAAAGCTTCAAATCAACATTCTTCAACAAATCGCCCGCTGAAGTAGTGACCACGAAACGGCCCGGGGGTGGGCGTTTGGGAAACGTGAAGATTGCCGCGGATTTAATTTTAATGCATCGGGAAGGCAGGGAGAGAAACTGCGACGGGCGCCGCCGTCGGCACATCGCAAGCGGCAACAAATACGCAAAGCAAAAAAGAGAGTTCGCCACTACAGACGGAACGGTTGCGAGCCGAAGAGTCGCATTTTATTCTCTCCCAGCGGCAACGCCCTTGAGAGGTTTGATTTTCCCCTATCAAATCCGAGCAGTGGCTTGGAGACTCCGAGCGTCGCCGTCGTCAGTTCGTGATCAATCCACTGCTGGATGAAGTTACCCCCCCACGCCCCCCACCCCATCCCAAGCCAATGCCATCCCCCCCCCCCGATCCCGTGATGCAACAATCCACACCGCGGCCGCTCCATATCCCCAGTTGACGTCGTACTCGTGAGGCATTCCATCCCTTGGCTATTACACGCAAAGTGCTTGTCGCAACTGAACCACGATAACTCGCTGACCTCGTCAAGAATCTATAAACCATCATCACGTAAACTCCGCTCATCCTCACAGCAGCAGCAGCGGCTTTTGGCTCGGACATCGAACAAAGGCGATGGTCACCGGCATCATCACGCCCGGCGCTTTCAGATGCGCTGCTTCTGCGGCCGTCTGGAACGCTCTTTCTTTCACTGGAGCTGTGGATTTAAACTCTCTTCTTCATACCTGCTTTTTGTGTTTAGTTTTTTTATCCTTCCCCCGCACCTCCGATTAGCACGGTTGGCTAAGTACGGTTCCAAAGTAGTTCAACACACGCACATATTATTACTGCACACACGCCATGAAATATATTGCCAAGTCCAAATGTTCTACGCTTTGATAAAGTGTTCACTACTTTGTACTCTACCGTTTTATCTGTGTTTGACATTGCAATATTTACCTTTCAACTGTTGACCCGGGAGGGATTAATTTGTCTGCCAGAGATAAGCGCAGCACTGGACACAAACCCCATGCGACTGCTGCAGCTCCGGGCATCTCGCTCTGGCCAACCCGGGGATGATAACGTGTCGGATAATGCCCCCTCCCCTCCCCTTCTCCCATGGCTCACGCAATTAAGCTACGTCGGAGTGTCTCGGCAACCAACGAGATTGCGTCTGAAGGGCTTCGGATTAGGATTATTCCACGCGCGCGCGTTCGCAAAGGAGACGTCTTCGCGAAGTTGACATTTACCCGCCGGCTCGCCACATCTGAGCACTCATCTCGAACTGGAAATCAAACTAAACTACTAAACTATTTAGATGTTTCCACATAAGGTCCATTGAGCTATACACCTCTTTGTCAAAAGCGACCTGGTCACAAATGATAGCTCAACGAAGTGGCTTTTAATAATAGGGTTTTTCCCCTTTTATCTGGCAACAATACTGAAACCTTTTTACAAGGATTCATGTCTGCATTAACCACAATACCTGCAGTCAAAATGCAAACAAAAAACATTTTGACTGCAGGTATTGTGGTTAATGCAGACATGAAACCTTGTAAAAAGGTTTCAGTTTTGTTGCCAGAAAAAAGGGGAAAAACCCTATTATTACATTTTGGTACTGGCAAAGGAGGTCTAATGATGAAGTGGCTTTTATCATCACATGGACATTCCTAGCAGGCAAATGCTCCAAACGCGTGATGCGGATTCTAAATGTGGAGGGTAAAACCGGAGGACCCGGAGAAAAATCCACGCCACGTTGGGGAGAGAGACACGCAAACTCCAAATATACAGCAGGCGTCAGGGTCGGGATCGAACCCACGACTACCCGTAGACCAGGCGAGGTAGTTAACATCTCCTAGCCACCGTGGCGCCTTTCTTGAGCTGGCCGGCTGAGCGGTGCGAAACGTACAGGCGGAATGATACAGGAACAGTGACGCGGCGGCGAACCCTCATCTCAGACCTTTGTCCCGCCATGGGACGGATGCACACGTTACGCGATGAAAAATTTGAACGTACAAAGGCGATTCGAATTTGCATCGTTTTTTAGTCACTTACCTGTGCCACGTGATGCACGCAACACGGCACCGTGCGGGGACGCAGCATCTCCATGCCAGGGCCGCGGCGCCTCAAACAGGGAGGTGGTGGCGGGGGGGGGGGGGACGCGGGAGGTGGGGGGGGTCGGGCCCACGCGGGCTGACGCCACAGAAAGGATATCTCGCAGGGCTGTCCTTGAGCGCGTTCAGAAAGCCGTCGCGTTGAGACACTGCGGGACGAGAGAGGAGAAGGAATGCGCAGGGCGGACATGGGGAGGGGGGAGGGCAGGCTGCCGCTATCGCAAACCCCCCACCGCCCCATTTGAGAAGCGGGGCCCCAGGCCGAGAATGTCAAAGTGCGCGCAAACGGTTATTTGTACACACGGCGTTGCGCGTGTTCACTGCTTTGTCGTCGAACCGTGGTTGGATGAATCGGGGGAGGTGGGGGGGGGTTTCTTTGACCATACTTCCCCACGCTGGTCAGCGTTGTGTTGGTGAAACGTGGGCGGTATGGAGGTGTGGGAGAGGGCAGGTAAAGTGTCGAGTCACCAATGGGGTTTTGCTGCACGACCCTCTGCCGACCCGCACAGTAGTCGCGCAGCTTTTATTAAAACGAAACTATATTTTTTTCGATTTAAAGCTTTCGTGACCGCAAGGATTCATCTTCTTTGGTTCGTTCGGTAAAGTCACCACGTAGAATGAGAATAAAATAATAAATTGATAAAATAAAATAACACAATAATATTCTCACGACGTTTCGGCCACAACACAAGCGGCCTTCATCAGGTGAAGGGACGAGACTGTCACTCCAGCGCTGTCCTCCAGACAGTCTCGTCCCTTCACCTGATGAAGGCTGCTTGTGGTGTGGCCGAAACGTTGTGAGAATTTTATTGTGTTATTTTATTTTATCAATTTATTATTTTATTCTCATTCTACGTGACTTTACCGAAAGAACCAAAGAAGATATATATTTTTTTATTTTACCAATGTAAGGCCCACAAAAAGCCGTGGAGGTAAAAACTCGGAGGACCCGGAGAAAGATCCACGCGACCACGTGGAGCGAGTAACGCAAACACCAAATATACAGCAGCAAGCATCAGGGGTTGGGATCGAACCCACGACCTCCTGTATACCAGGCGAGGTAGTTAACATCTCCTAGCCACCGTGATGATGGCGAGAGAGAGACACGCAAACTCCAAATATACAGCAGCAGGCGTCAGGGGTAGGGATCGAACCCACGACCTCCTGTAAACCAGGCGAGGTAGTTAACATCTCGCCACCATGGCGCCCTCTCGCACCTCCGATTAGCACGGTTGGCAACGTACGGTGCGAAAGAAGTTCAACGTACACAAACTCTCTGAACATTCCTCAATTAGGTTGTCTTGTCAAAATTCATTTCAGTTTTGTCAGCGCCCGATTTCAGGTGACACTCAAAGGAATAAAAATCGATATCAACAATGACAGCAGTGGATAAAATATTAACTTAACGAATAAACAACTAAAACGCTTTCATGCCAGCGTTAAAATGAATTAATTGACCCTGTGTGCCCTGACTTTCGGGCCAGCCTGCACATGCAGGACACGTGTGTGATTGTGTTTGGAGCGGTAGTGGTTAGCGCGCAGCACTACGAACCCCGGGGACTCGAGTTCGATTCCCGCTCACCGCCAACACCAGTGACGAATATATGAACCGGTCCTGGGCCTCCTCTAGGTCGACTCAGCCTGACACGAGTACCTGGCGCGGCGTGTAAAAATCGCCACTGGGGAGACAAAGGCGGCCGGGCACGGTGCTGGCCACCCACCTCCCTCGTGTACCATGCCTTTCATAGGCACTACTCGCTAACAGCGCTTGCCCCTACACAGTCTGCTAAAGGTTATACGGGGGACCTTTGTCTTTTTGTGCATACAAAGGAACGCTCGGGCACACTCTACACTCTGGAAGAAAAGGAGCCCCCCCCCCTCCTCGCACACCCCCGTTCCAACAATGCACATTCAGTCCAGCACTTCACGCGGCAATCTACTCACGGGCCATATTTCCGCACCAATTGCGTCTCGCTGTTTGGAACGAGAGCTCGTGTTCGGTTCGCCCCACGGTCAAGAGGCGCCACACGGTGGCTCGGAGATGTTAACTACCTCGCCTGGTGTGCAGGAGGTCGTGGGTTCGATCCCGACCCTGACGCCTGCTGTATATTTTGAGTTTGCGTGTCTCTCTCTCCACGTGGTGAGATGTTAACTACCTCGCCTGGTATCCTGGAGGTCGTGGGTTCGATCCCGACCCCTGACGCCTGCAGTATATTTGGAATTTGCGTGTCTTTCTCTCTACCCGTGGTGAGATGTTAACTACCTCGCCTGGTATCCAGGAGGTCGTGGGTTCGATCCCGACCCCTGACGCCTGCAGTATATTTGGAATTTGCCTGTTCTCGTGGTCGCGTGGATTTTTCTCCGGGACTTCCAGTTTTTTCCCTCGACATTTAGAAATATGCATTTAAGAGTATCAGAATCAGGATCTTCATTTATACTAGAGGAATCCGATGAGCTATAAAGCTCTTTTTTATAGATGGTCAGGCTGCTATAAATACTCCCATAAGCCACTTCATTGAGCTATAATTTGTGGCTAGGTGCATTAAGCAAAGGAGTTATAGAACTCAGTGGGCCTTACCTGGTAAAATAAAAAAAATAGTCTTAGTTCAGTTTTAATAGTTAAATTCAGCTGTCCATAACGTGCTGCGTTTTATCTGCCCGGCGCTTCGCTCGTTATTGCTAGTCTCAAGGCGCTAAAGCTAGCCTGGGCATTGCCCAGTAAGCGTCCTTCACTAGCCTCTCCACCTTGCTATGACCACATGGTCACGGGCGCGACATCGAGCGCACGCCCGCCCCCCTGTCCCCCCCCCGTAAGTGAATCCTGGGCGTCAATCCAGTCAATAAGCAAATCTATCATCGGCAACCGTGAACATATTCCAGGAAACCGGGATGGCAGCGGGCGTTTAGGCAGCGAAGCACGCGTCTGGAAATTAAGCGGGTGGGGGAGGGGCATCCCATGGCATTGTTTATCGATTTTGTTGTTGTTGTTGTTGTCGTCGTCGTCCCAGCAAGAGTGCGGGCAACGTTAGAAAACCACCGAAGGCTACGGCTACTCCCGATCGTCATTGCTACGATGGGAGGCCTGCGAGGGGCCCAAGTGCTTCCAGCGCGTAACCCTCTTTGGGTGGGGGGGCGTTTCGCCGCGACGGGTTACGCCGTTCAACGACCCGAGTTTCCCCCAGCCGATGTTGGCAAGTTGGCTTCGAGCAAGGGGCGACCAAAGGATCGTGTAAATGAATAATGAGCCGCGTGCGAGTGCACGGTGTTTGGTGGTGGGTGGTGGGTGGGTGGTGGTGGTTGCCACTCACGCAGGGCTATGTGCACGATGATGAACGCGAAGATGTAGACAGTGAGAAGCGACAGGGAGAGGACGAACATGTAGAAGAATCTGTAGTTCCTCTTGCCGACGCAGTTGCCCACCCAGGGGCAGTGGTGGTCAAAGTGCTCTGCGTACGAACCGCACCGCACGCGGGAGACACACACACACACAAACAGAGCGCACGAGCAACAACATCAACAACCATCACCACCGGCGGTGCGATCGTTAAGACTGTTCAATGACATTTACATCACCAGGCAGACACCGATTACGAGGCATCAAGTCTGCATTGTCCTCGAAACCGATTGGCCAACACCAGAGACAGCCTTCTCTCTATCGTGGCTTTGTGTCCCACCGGTGCTGTAGACCAAAGGACGCCAAGAGGCGAACACAAGGACAATGCGTAAGCTTTAATAGTTCACGTAAATGCAGACTTGATGCCTTGTAAAAGGTGTCTATTGGGTCTCTGCACGTCTTAACACCTCCTGTATTATAAGCATCCTCCTATTTTTTTATCGTTTTCACACTGGCAATAACGGGTCCCACAAATACATCCACATCATTCCTTGTGTGTGTGCATGCACAACAACAGCCGCCATTCGCCACTAAGTGGTGGTGACGTCCCCACGACGCCTGTGCCAGGCCATGTGCATGCACACACACACACACATAAACATCAAAGATACCCTGCAAAGCCTCAACAGACTGCTGGGAAAGTGATGTTAGCGAGTGCCTATTAAGTCCGGCACGCCACAGCAAGCAATTGGGGTGGGTCGGCGGCAACACGACAGGCCGCCTTTGTCTCTCCAGTGCCGACGTTTACAGCTAGCGCCAATTTAACGCTCAAGTCAATCTACAGCGAGGCCGAGGACCGGTGCAGATATTCGTCAACGAAACTAAACTATTTTTTTATTTTATCAGGCAAGGCCCACCTCTGTGCTAATGCAGCTTTTTTTCAGAAGTGACCTGGCTATCACAAATGATAGCTCAACGAAGTTCATCACCGTCATCATCATCATGTGAAAATTTGTAGCAGCCAAATACTCTAAACGAGTGGTGATGTTGATCCTAAATGTGGAGGGGAACAACCGGAGGACACGGGAGAAAAATCCACGCGATCACGGCGGAAAGAGAAAGAGACGCGCAAATTCCAAATACACAGCAGGCGTCAGGGTCAAACCCACGGACTCCTGTATACCGGGCGAGGGAGATAACATCTCGTCATGCTGGCGTTTCGAACGCTAACCGCTGTGTCACGGCTCGCTCTGCCCCACCCTCCCCTAACCCCCACCCCCATCACACGGCACACACACAGCCCAGCACTCACCCACGCAGTTGTCGCAGAGGCTACAGTGGGAGGCTCTCGGTGGGCGGAATATCTTGCACGTGAGGCAGTACTTGAGCTTCACGTTCTGCCCGTTGATTTTCACCTCCTTCATGCGCGGGGGCGGCCGGTAGTTGTTTGCGTTGCCGCCGTTCGCCACCTCTGCGGGGGTGCGGGGGGTAGGGGTGGCGGGGAGGAGGGGGGGGGCGGGGGCATGGCGGGCACGGGGTTGAAGGGGGGCAGAGATCGATGGGTTGAACCACGCCGCCGAGCAGAAGGGGACAGTGCCGTGGATCACCATCAAGTGGGGGGGGGGGGGGGGGGGGGGGCATTCCGCCCGTAGACCGAGGCGGCACGAGATTGGGCGCGCCAGTGGCACGAGTCGAGATTTTCCTTCCCGAGCGCGTTCGGTCCCCCAGGGCTACCAGCGGCGTTGCGCAATTCTTGCTCGCCATCGCTGTTCCACCCCCCTCCACCCCCCCCCCCAGGGCGAAGGCGCGCCACCCCTCCGCCGCCCGGAGGGGTGGCACCGTGACGAAGGAGGAGAGCCCCCCCCCCTCTCGCGCAACGGCTGCGGTTGCTGTAAGCGACTCGACTGTGTCCGAGCCGGGAAATCGGACAGATTCATCGAAACGCATGCTCGCAGCTTGCAAAAAACGAGCCAGAGCTAAAAACTGAAAACACATTCGCAGATGCCGATACGTGAGCGGATACTCGGATCGTAAATGTTGCGGCTGGGCTTTCCAACACACGACCGGTGTTGCTGTAACTAGTAAGGAATTGGCCGCGTTCTGTTTACGTGGCAAACCTTACTAGTTGGCTGTGTCGGGTGTTGGCAGATGTTATTTAGCGACACGTTTGTATATTTACGCGATCGAACCCCAAAAAAGCCTGTATTATTGATGATATTGATCGCGAAAGCCTACGCACTTGCCAATTAAACACTTGAAGGCAAACAACGAGTGTGGAAAAGCGTCACGTAATCCACGTATTTGCACGATTCATTAAGACTTGTGACGATGATGACGTTCACATAATGTCGATCGGTGATTACGATTAAAAACTAAACTATTTACATTTCAGCTATGTAGCTGTTTTTTTTTTAAAAGCTTAAAAGCTTATCACGAGGAAATGTATAGCAGCCAAGTCTAAAACGCGTGATGCTTTTTATTTTTATTTTACTAGGCAAGGCCCACTAGAGCTGTGGAGGAAAAAACCGGAAGATCCAGAGAAAAAAATCCACACGACCACGGGGACAGAGACACACAAACTCCAAATATACAGGAGCAGGCGTCCCCGGGTCAGGATCGACACCCACGACCTCCTGTATACCAGGCGAGGTAGTTAACATCTCACAAAGCCAACCGTGACCCGCAGAGAACTCGGCGTCCCTCCGTTCCCTCGGCATGCCGAGCTGCCGTAACCCCGCTGGTGGTTTGCCGGCAATGATCGCCATAAACTTGAATCACGGGGGGGGGGTGGTTTTGGGGGGGGGGGGGGGGGGGGGGATTGGGGGTAGGGGGGGGGGGCTTTACCGTCCGAGCCGAGGATCTGCTTCTCCAGGTCGGCCGCTTCGTCAGCGGCCGCGCGGGGCAGAACGCCGGGGTCGCTGAAACTCGTGCGCAGGAGGCTGCACATGACGAAGATGAAGAGAGCCGCGCCGACCGCCGGCACCGCGGGGTTCAGGTTCTCCGCCAGGAACGGGCAACTGCCGGGCAGACGGACGGACGGACGGACGGACGGAGGGGCCACGGTTATATCTCGGTAAGAGGCTCTTTTCAGCGAAGATGCAGCGTGAGAGATCGTGTGGTGCCACGATTCAAAATGTTATCCGCACCATCCAAAGCGATGCTGCCAGACTTTTTGAGAGCACGCCACCCCCGATTGCTTCTAACCCCCCCCCCACCCCCCCCCCCCCCCCCCGCTGACTTCCAAAACCAACCCCAGATCAATATCAAGATCGCACTCACGGTCTTTCAGATTCCTTCCCATGAACTCACCCTTGCCTACCGCTACCCTCTCATCTCACTCGACTCCCCTCCACGCGCTCTCCCCGCTCCAGCAACCAAGGAGTTCTATCGAAGCCCCCACCACCCAACCATCTCTCATTGGGAGGCCGCTCATTCTCCTCTGCTGCCCCCAGAGGCTGAAACTCCCCTTCCCGCAAGCCCACCGCAACTGTTGACTCCCTGCCCCCATTCAGGTCGAGGCTCACGAACCTCCCCCCGTCTTCTCTACGTCCGCGACCGACCGCCTCTCAACACAAAGGAAACATTCCCACTCCCACCCCCACCCCCCACCCGTGTCGGGACGGCGCCCGGAGACGCGGTCGGATCGAGACACCGTTATATTGAATTGCGTTGAGCTGTAGTCGCAACGATGCACGCACGGGCTCGCAGGCTCGCGTGAAGACCCACAGGTCGCACCCGAGACCCGAAGCCTCTCTCTGTAAAATAATCACGTCCACGGTTCTGCAGATTTCCCCTCGCACACAGACGCAACGTAGATCACAAAAACTGGCACCTTTTATTGTACCGTTCCGGATATCGTGTGCCCAGTTATTAACAACTCATGAACTTCTAAAAAATCGTTACTTTTTAATTATATCTATTTCATTTTAATACGTGTTTACGTTCGTGGTTCATTAATTATTTCCCTCTACGATGCCCTAAGTGATGGATCCACGTTGGCGTGGTGCAGCGTTGGTTCACATCCGCCGAGTTTGTACTTATTAAGAAGGGACTGACAGAAAAAATCACTACCATCTCACAGAGCCCACCGTGGAAATGGCAACGTCAAAGCTCAAGGGCTCATCTTTAGTTGTTTGAATATTTATCAGGGCCCCGTGGCTCGTCTCGGCCCGGTGGTAGGCGCAGCGTGTTGCAGGGCTTCGAGGTTCGAATGCGGCAGGCAGCCCTGGTCAATACCAGCTGTAGTAACCGCTTTTGGCTCGGCCATCGAAAAACAGACGGTCACCGCATCGCACGGCGCTTTCAGACGCGCTTCTTGCGGCCGTCTGGAACGCTTCTTCCTCCCAATATTAGTAATACACTGGGAGCTATGCCACTTTGAAACCATCATCATCTAGATTGACAATCTCATTCATTTTTTGAACGGCTTTTTGCGTTTTCCATTGCTGTCCTTCCCCAGCGCCTCCTGACGAAGCACGTTAGCCTACTTACCGTGCAAAAAAACAAGTTGAACGTACTACCTACGTACGTATGCACTCGTGCAATTCCACATCATCCGCTTTGCGGTGGACATCATAAAAATACCCGTGACATCAACCCGAAAAGAGACGCTTAACGTTTTTTTTTAAAATCACGTTAAGAAACGGACTCGATTGGGATCGGCACGCAGCGACCGACGGCCGCACGCAACTAGCGGAGGGGGGGCGGCGGGGGGGGGGGGGGGGCCCTGGCCAGCAGTTGGCGCGAGCGGGCAACTCAGTGCTCGCCACGCGCAAATAAAAAAACGATGCGTTAGAGCGGGGACGAAATTCACTGACCAGATATGGTCCCCCTCGTTTCTCTCACACTGGGGCCGCGAGAGCATTTACAAATCGGCGATAAACACTATTTCGGGCACAGGAAGGGGGGAGCCCCACCTTCCTTTGCCTGAAATAGCCCCCCCCACACACCCCCCCCCACACCCCCCGTGGGGTTATCGGAGCACCGAGAATCTGGCTGTGATTTAAACGGGACAGAAAGAGAGGAGGGAGCGCCTCCGTGTTTATGACACGTGATGCATTTTTCGAGTTCCTGAAAGCGAATGCACGGGGGCGGTCCATCCGTCCTTCCGTCCATCCATCCAGTCCCGTCCTTCCGTCCATTTGTTCCATCCGTCCATCCCGTCCTTCCTTCCGTCCTTCCTTCTGTCCGGTCCGTCCATCCCATCCTTCCTTCTGTCCTGTCCGTCCGTCTCATCCTTCCTTCCGTACTTCCTTCTGTCCTGTCCGTCCATCCCATCCTTCCTTCCGTCCTTCCCGTCAGTCCCGCCCTTCCGTCAGTCCGTCAGTCCCGCCCTTCTATCCGTCCCGTCTGTCCGACCCCGCAAGCCACGAACAACGCCGCCGTGTCAAACGGAGTGACGACACCCCAAGACAAACAAGCCGCCGGGCTTGGGGAAACGGGTTGGATCGCGACACGTGGCTTTTTTGTGACAGGTCATTCTTAAGGACGTGAAATGCGCCAAGTCTTCGAAATAAACTGCCGTACGTACGCACGTGGGCTTGCGTTTACATTCAGTTTAACACGTAGGCTTTAAACACACGTATGTTTGTTAATAATCCTATCAATAACCTAACCGCTAATGGATATACATTGTAGTTTATATATTAATGCATTAATCCCTCCCACCACCCCCCCGCCCCCTGGCCTTCACACCTGATTGGCTCACAAGTGAAGACATCATGTGCATCCCCCGCTCTATTTAAGACCGAAACAGGAGGAGGGTTTCTCCACAACTCTGTGGCCGTCGCCTGATGATGCTGGCTGTTGTTGTAATTACTGGCGAAACGTCACGGTACTCGATCTGTAAATGTTGTAGTGGGGTTTACGCTTCAAACACACAACCGGTGTGCTGTACTAGTAGCGAATTGGCACGTTTTGTTCACGTGACACACCTGACTAATTGGCTGTGTCGGGTGTTGGCGGATTTAACGACACATTTGTGTTTACGCGATTCTAACCCCAACAAAAAAAAATTAACTATTATGAAGTTTACATGAAATGTAAAAAAGAATACTCATTAATACGTTGGCAGTGGTGCACAAGTGCCATGAATACAAAAAAACAACTCGTTCGCCAATAACAACACCACGTGTTTGTGTGTGTGGCCCTAACACGGAAAAGTATATCATTGGCCTTCTTTATGGCCTTGTCTCACCGGTGTCAGATCAGAGAACGACGCCAAAAGGCGAACAGCACAAAGACAATGCCACACGTGTCAGAGCATTTACAGCTCTGGGTGTCGCAGCTACATCATGGGACACCTGTTTTGCCAGTATCAAAGCATGAAAAATACGAAGAGGTTTCACCCTTTTTCTGGCATTAAAACAGGAGTTGTGTTAAGATGTTCAAACACCGAATAGAAACCTTTAGCAAGGAAGTCTCCTTTAACCACGCGGTATTTGTAGTGAACATGCAAACAAAACATGCTCTGATAATATAATAGATGGCATTGTCTTTGAAACTAATTTGCCTACACCAGAGACAGCCTTCTCTCTTTAAGGCCTTGTCTCATCAGTGTCAGACCAGAGAACGCCAAAAGGCACACATCACAAAAACAATGCCACACGTGTCGGAGCAGTTGGCGACGTTTGGGGCAGTTGAGTGATGCAAAGACGACAACATATGTAAGATATACGAAGAACACATGAATTAGATGAACATACGCAAGATAGAGAAATCATAATTGATTGTAAATAAAAAAATATTTTATTATTCGCCTTATTTTATTGGAATTAGTGCAGTCATTGATATTGCTGTTATCAGTTTTTATTTCGCCGAGATTGTATCTGTACTTGTGAGAGTAGTTGAAATTTTACGTACGGCACTTTGAGATATTTCAATGTGAACGTGCTTTTACGAAATTGAGGTGGTTATTATTACTATGCCTTGCCCCAGGACCCATCGGGGGCAAGAAGGGGCGACTGCCGATGGTAGGAGGATGAACCAAGGAGTGGCAGCCAAGGGAGGGAACGTCGACCGCAGAGATAAATTGATTAAGTTAGCTCATCGGGCGGGTGCCAGACGGATTGCGCCATCGGCTAGCCCGTACGAGACGGTCGACGGCCAGGGGCGAGGGCTTCGTCAAGCAGTGGATAAGTCACGGCCGACCAGAGACGTCCCCGACGAATCGGGGCGACTGACCGGCGTGGCGAGGCACGGTCAAACATCTCGCACTCGGCCGACGCGTCTTTCATCACCCAGCAGCGCCGCCATCAGAGTTAAGATCCACCGCCCACCGCGTTACGGACCACCCAGGGCTCGCTCGGTTGTGCTGGCGTCGGCTCTAAACATAGCCGCGCGTGCCGCGACGAGTCGAACCATTCGGCGCAAGAAGAGAGACACGGCGGCGGTGCAAGTAGAAACTCACCCACCAGCCAAACCCCCGCAGGCAGGCGTACTCAATTACCCTAATTATTACGTCGTATCAGATGCACCGTGCGCGTGGAGCCCCCGCGTGTGCGTGAAGCAAGTCGGTGACCCGAGTTTGATTCCCGCTCACGGCCACCAACACCGGTGACGATTATCCGAATCGGTTCTGGGCCTCATCCCCTAGGTCGACGCAGCCTCAAACGAGTACCCGGTGCGGTGTGTGGTAAACATCGCCACTGGGGGAGACGGAGGCGGCTGGGCGTGGTGCTGGCCACCCACACCCTCGTGTGCTGTGCCGGCCTTCATAGGTGCTACTCGCTAACAGCACTTGCCCCAACAGTGTATTGAGGCTAGACGGGGGTTCTTTGTCTTTGTGCAAGTCGGGCGTGGTGCTGGCCACTCAACCTTCTCTCGCGCGCGTGCCGGCCTTCATAGGTGTTCGCTAACAGCTCTTGCCCCAACAGTCCGTAAAGGCAATATACGGGGGCTCTCTTTGCGAGTGCCTGTCTCATTTGTTACCGTCTGTGCAATGAGTCTCGTTTGTGCCGTCTCATTCGTACACTTCCACCTCATTGTTGTCCGACTCTTACCGTCTGTGCTGTGTCTC